ATCGTAAAACAGTCAAGTGCCAGGCTAGATAGCATTGCGTAAAAGCATTTATTGGTTTTAGCATATATACTGTATATATTTCTGGTTCTCCAGAAGCTTCCAATGCTGCAGTTAGCTTTTTTGTCCTGATTCTCAAACGGTCCACTTGGCTGGTTATGGAATGGGATAGGAAGCCATGTTGGTGATGCCGCATTGATTGAATCCTTGTTCCAAGAGCATGTATCCGTTGTCCCCCCAATAGCGAGACCAACTGCGAAGAGAAGCATGCAAGAGATTTATTTCAAAACCATGCAGGGCAGGGCCTGTTGGGAACTGCGCCACGCAAGCGGCAGGTGAGCACATGAAACCTTATGTGTGCATGCGCGGGAACTAGGTTGCACGTGCGAAACCATTCGCCACCTACCTGCTTCTGCTGCCGGTTCATGGGGCTAGAAAGGTTGGGGACTGCTGGAATAGGGAATCGTTCTGGCTGTGGAATTCTGGGAGTTATAGTCCATGTGTCTTCAAGTGGCCAAGACTGAGACACTCTGGAATGGAGTGTACTGTAGTGTTGTGTTGTGTAGTGGCGTGGCATGGCATGGCGTGGAATGGAATAGAATAGAATAGAATAGAATAGAATAGAATAGAATAGAATAGAATAGAAAATATGGAATGGAGTGGAGTGGAGTGCAGTGGAGTGCAGTGCAGTAGAGTAGAATAGAGTAGAGTAGAGTGTAGAGTAGAGTAGAGTAGAGTAGAGTAGAATAGAACAGAACAGAACAGAACAGAACAGAACAGAACAGAACAGAATAGAATAGAATAGAATAGAATAGAGTTGGAAGGGACCATGGAGGTCTTCTAGTCCAACCCCCTGCTCAGGCAGGAAACCCTATACCATTTCAGACAAATGTGTGTCCAATCTCTTCTTAAAAACTTTCAGTGTTGGAGCATTCACAACTCCTGGAGGCAAGTTGCTCCATTGGTTAATTGTTCTCACTCTCAGAAATTTCTCCTTAGTTCTAGGTTGCTTCTCTCCTTGATGAGTGTCCATCTATGAATTCTTGTCCTGCCTTCAGGCGCTTTGGAAAATAGCTTAACTGCCTCTTCTTTGTGGCAACCCCTGAGATATTGGAAGGCTGCTATCCTGTCCCCCCTCGTCCTTCTCTTCATTAAACTAGACATACGCAATTCCAGCAACCGTTCTTTGTATGTTTTAGCCTCCAGTCCCCTAATCATCTTTGTTGCTCTTCTCTGCACTCTTTCTAGTGGCCAAGATTGTAACACTCTAGAATAGTAGAGGTTGCCCTCTAGTTACCCCCCTGCCAGTATCCCCTTCCCTTCACTCACCTGTTCTTCACAATCCAGTACTTGGTGCTGTTGTATCCGACCACCAGCATAGCATGAGTCAACTGGGGGTCTCCACGCCAGGGATTTTTAAAGATACCTAGAGAAAGAGGAGGAGAAATCATACGGTAAAGCGAAAGCTCCGTGCTTCTTTGCCAGATCATCTGGATTTTGAAATAATAGGAAATACTTGTAGCTTGGGCTTTTAGATTTTGGCTGTGGTTTGTTTCTCCAAGCTTCTTTTAATATAATTCCTGAACGTTTCGTTAGCAAACAAGGTAACACCATCATCAGAAGCTGCAAGTATTTCCTGTTATTTCAAAATGATATTCCACCAAAGGAGCAGTTAACATTGATCTGGATCAGGGGTAGGCAACCTTGGCTCTTTTATGACTGGTGGACTTCAACTCCCAGAATTCCTGAGCCAGCCATGCTGAGGGGAAAGGGAGAGGTTTCTAAGCTGAGCCATGCCGGCTGAGGGATTCTGGGAGTTGAAGTCCACAAGTCATAAAAGAGCCAAGGTTGCCTACCCCTGGTGTAGGTGGTACCTGACGCAATAGCAGTAACTGTGAAAGGGATCTCAGAGTCCTAGTGGACAGTCACTTAGATATGAGCCAGCCGTGTGCTGCAGCTGCCAGTGCTAGGCTGCATTAACAGAGGGATAGAATCAAGATCACGTGAAGTGTTAATACCACTTTACAATGCCCTCGTAAGGCCACACTTGGAATACTGCATCCAGTTTTCGTCACCACGATGTAAAAAAGATGTTGAGACTCCAGAAAGAGTGCAGAGAAAAGCAACAAAGATGATCAGGGGACTGGAGACTAAAACTATAAGGAATGGTTGCTGGAATTGGGTATGTCTAGTTTAATGAAGAGAAGGACGAGGGGGGACATGATAGCAGTCTTCCAGTATCTCAGGGGCTGCCCCAAAGAAGAGGGAGTCAAGCTATTCTCCAAAGCGCCTGAAGGCAGGACAAGAAGCAACGGATGGAAACTGATCAAGGAGAGAAGCAACCTAGAACTAAGGAGAAACTTCCTGACAGTTAGAACAATCAATCAATGGAATAACTTGCCTCCAGAAGTGGTGAATGCTCCAACACTGGAAGTTTTTCAGAAGAGATCGGACAACCATTTGTCTGAAACTGTATAGGGTTTCCTGCCTGAACAGGGGGTTGGACTAGATGACCTCCAAGATCCCGTCCAACTCTGTTATTCTATTCTATTCTATTCTATTCTATTCTATTCTATTCTATTCTATTCTATTCTCAAGGTCACCTTACGAACATTCAAAGTTCACGTGCAAGGGGCCCCATTTTCTATTCCACAGGAACCTTACCCGACTTGTAAAACTGAAATGCTGAACTCCGGGCATCCACTCCGACAGAAATTGGGCCAATTGTGGCCACCGCCTGCAGAAATCCCTTTTCATCTCCTGGCAGGATGACTCCTATGGTGGAACACTTAGTAACAGAATTCTCAGCTTCATAACGACAACTATAATCATCCTGAAGAAAAATAAAAGAGTGATCATAGTTAGTCCCAAAGAAAACAGGGTTTCCTGCCTGAGCAGGAGGTTGGTCTAGAAGACCTCCAAGGTCCCTTCCAACTATTCTATTCTATTCTATTC